AGGGTCGAGGCTGCAGTGGCCGGGAGCGGCCACTGCACTCCAGTCTGGGCGACAGAGTAAGACTCCAAAGCAAAAAAAAAAAAAAAAAATGTTCACTTATATGATACATGTACTTTTCTGTATAATTATTACCACCCAGTAAAAAGTTTTAAAAACTTTACTCGCCAAGTTGCCCGGGCGGCTCTCAAACATGCAGGCTCAGGAAAAAAAAAAGAAAAAAAAAAGTTTTAAAAACTTTAATAAGTATTGCTGTTTTGTTTTGTGCTCATTACTGGCAATAAGATGTTACACATGTCCTTTCACAGATTATACAAAGAAATAGGCAAATGAAATAAGTAATCATATACACGTTTAAAACACTGGTAGCAGTTCTCTTCTTAAGAGTTCTGATGTGGCTGAGGTGAGTGGATTGCCTGAGCCCGCAGGTTCGAGACCCGCCTGGGCAACTTAGCGAGACCTCATCTCTACAATAAATTAAAAAAAAAAATCAGGCGGGAATGGTAGCACGTGCCTGTAATTTCAGCTACTCGGAAGGTTGAGGAGGAAGGATCGCCGGAGCCCAGTGGGTCTAGCCTGCAGTGGCCAGGAGCGACCACTGCATTCCAGTCTGGGCGACAGAGTGAGACTCCAACTCAAAAATAAAAAATAAAAATAAAAAGAGTTCTAATGTTGCTGCAAGCAAATTCATCTTCACAGAGACTTCTTCAGATCTGGAAAGGACCACAGATGATAACACAGGCTAGTCATAATGTTCACGGGATGATAAGATGTGGGTGAATTTATCTGTGGGGCAGAATTAGACAATAATGCTAAAGGCTACAGCCTCAATATTTTTATCTCTTAGTCTTTATTAAAGGTTCACAGAGATAAATGGAAAATGCCATCCTAACTTCACAGATCAAATTAAGGAGCGAGGTTGCAGGGAATCAAATATCTTGTACTGACCTGTCAAAAACACTTAACTCAGATCCAAGTAAACATATACCACACTCTTTTTTTACCCTAAGGTGATTATGGCTTGAGACTTCTAAATTCTCTGCTTTCACAGTTTACCTTTTGCTGGAAATCTTGGGCACAAATCTTTTAATAAAGGTTATAAAACTTCTGACATTAAAATCTCACTGCCAAATAGAAGCTGCCACTTCCCAACATGGAGACTCAAATAGCTGGCATTTTTTGTCCTTTAAAAACAATATAAAATAGTCCAGTTTCCTTCTGTTGGTAACCATGGAGGCTAAGTGCAAATATTTCAGTGACTGAGTAATACTAAAAATGACAGTGTTCTTCAAGGGCATCTATTAATATGCTTCACATTAAAAAACCAGGCGTGGTGACTCACATCCATAATCCCAGCACTCTGGGAGGCCGAGGTGGGAGGATCACTTGTGTCCAGCCTGGGCAACATAAGGAGACCGCATCTCTACAAAAAATTTTTTAAAAATTAGCCAGGTGTGGTGGTACACACCTGTAGTCCCAGCTACTCAGGAGGCTGAGGCAGAAGGATCACCTAAATCCAGGAGACTGAGGCTGCTATGAGCCGTGATTGTGCCACTGCCCTCCAGCCTAGGCAACAGAGTGAGACCCCCAACTCAAATACAACAACAACAACAAAACAATAAAACTAGCAACGTAAAATGTAATCATCAGATTTTCAGTGATAAGTCCCACTGGTTTCACAATTATTTGAGAATTCGTTGGATAGGAGAAGCCCATGGAGAAAGATGTAGATGATTGCTTGTCAGAGGAAAACCTGTTTCTCAAAGATTTTTTTTTTTTTCATTTCCTATTTCCTCCTCTTTAGGTCTCCTTGGAACACTGTTCCCTGCCTCTGATCTTTCCAGCACCAGAAGCCTGAGTATGTCATTCCTAACCTTTAAAAAGCTTCTCTCTCTGTCCAAGAGTCCCCAAGAGACCTTCCTGAGGTGGCATGTTCACTCTTGATGTACAATTTCAGGCTGACGCATTTGCATAATCTGCTTTCTGGAGAGCTTTTGGAGTCTTAGGCCAACTAAATTTCACCTCAATTTCTCCATATCTAATTGCACAAGGCTGCCGGTTTCTTGTGCTGTTCCCCCAAACAGGCAATACAACCCTTTCTGCCAGTGCAATTTCTGCCAGGCAGAGATTAGCATGAGGCTTCCAACTGCAGTTTCAGAGAGCCTGGTGCCAGGTGGTATCATTCTACCAACAGACTCTCAGGTGGGGGTTCAGGACACGACATGCAGAGTGGAGCATCTGCCAGTGCAAGCCTGCACTGGCTATTTAAAGAGCTCTCTGGAAGGGCAGGATTCAGACCCAGAGGAGAGGGACCAGAAGGGTTTGCAGTCCTGCTCCTGGGCATTTGTAGATGGAGCCCGGGATGTCGGAGGCAAGGACGGGGCAGGGGTGAGGGACCAACTATTCAGAAGATGGCAGAGGGCATTAGCAGCAGGCAGACAGAAAATGGGAGAAAGGAGGACCCCACTTGGGCAAAGGATTCCTTCTTCTCTTCAACCAAAAACCACAAAGACCACTTTGCATCAGCCTGGCATACTTCTACTTTGGTAGGTTTGTGCACATTTGTTTTCTTCTCATCTTTCACATTTACAATCTAATGGAGACAAAGAATTTTTTTTTTAATTTGTGAATTTTAGTTGTTATTTGAGATGGTCCAAATGTTCCTTCCATATCCAGTTAGTATTATAAAACAGGGAACTCTGGTTTTGGAGAGGAGGCGAGGGTGTGATGAAGATGTGATGTACTTTTCAAAATAGTATTTAAGCCTTTATATTATTTTAGCACAAACATTCTCCATCACATGGTCTCAGTTTTACAATTTAATATAATTCTTATACTGATTCAACATAGAGCTTGTATCCTCCCAAATCTCATGTCACAGAAGCCTGTTCTATGTCAGGTTCTCCCAGAAGTAGACTCTGAGTCAAGAATTCAGATATAAGAGGCTTATTTTGGAAAGGCTCCCAGAGAGACCAGTGGATGCATTAGAGGAAGATAGAGAAAGGGAGGAAGCCCAGCATAGATGTGATTTCATGTCATGTCCTGGCCTTAGCTTGATCTGGAGGGGTAGAGGCCCTGGAGCAAAAATTATGCCTCACAATATGTCCTTCCTTGAGGCAAAGGGAGCTGGGCTTTTGAATCCTTAACTAGATGGTCAGGGACCTTGGCCAAGGGACGTGGGAGGTGGGGTGGCCACAGGGACATAAAACTCCAGACCCCACTGGCTTTCCATATGGGCTCACTGGCTCCAATACCAGGTCACAGGCACTAGCCTTTAACTGCAAAGTAATTAGTAGGAATCAGGCACACGGTGTTGGCAAGAGACCCTTGGAGATCTAGGTGACCCACCAATAGCTGCAGTCACAGCACTAGCTCTCAACACTGCCTGCTCACACCACCAGGCACTAGTTATGGGTCTTTCATCACATTCTGCTGTAAGAGGAAATGAATTATATCTTTCGAAAGTCCTGGGGTTGGCTTTTCATCATCCAGAGACATACTTCCTTCCTCCAGCGAATAGAAGCGGGTAGCCATAGAATGCCTCTGTAAGACTGAGATGCCGTCGCGGTTGAAGATGATCTGGGCCATTTGAAAACTGCGGAGGGCATACTTTTGGCTCTCCTGGCCTTTTAGTTGAGTGATTTTCTGAGCCAGGCACTGGCAGACAGATGCAGAGAGTAGATTCCCAGAGGTTGGCTGCTGATAGTCAAACATTTCATAGAATCTATCCAGGGATTTTCGAAGTCCATCCTCCTCTTCCTTGGCCTCTGATATCACAGAAGGGTCAAGCCAGAAGTTCTCAGTGGTCCTGAAGTCATTTTGTTCAGTATGTAGGTTACTAGTGTCTGTAAGACAAAACACATTCCAATACTTGAACACACAGTCACAAATATCAGTAAACAAGCCAAGGGCAGATGGTGTCTCTTTTCAGTTCACCACTCTTACTGCTCCTGGGTAACTGGTAATGAGCAGGGTCAACTGATTTTTGAATCTGTTCCCACTATTCTGGATTAAGCCACTTGTTTGCTCACAACAATAACATCTTACGTGCATGCATCAAGAGTTCTTAACCTGGGGTCACTGTATAGATATTTAGGGTGGCTGTAAACTTGAGTAGGGAAAAAAATGTCTTTATTTCCACTAACCACTACCTGAAATTAAGCATTTCTTTCCATGATGAATGTAGGCAGCAAATCACAGTATTAGCAGCAGTGTCTGTAACTTTGTCACCGATAGATCACAACCGTTTTCACAATGTGTTGAAGATAATATAAAAATTTATAAAATTTATGCTTATGACTAGGCTATGGACTGAATTGTTTCCCCATAAAATTCATGTTTTGAAGTCCTAACTAATATAACTATATTTGGACTTTTTATAAGAAGACTTTTTTGGAGGTAATTAAAGTAAAATGATGTCATAAGAGTAAGATCCTAATCTGAGGAGATTTATGGCCATAGTTATAAAGAGACAAAAAGAGAAGGAGATCTCTTTCTCTATGTTCAGACACCAAGGAAAGGACATGTGAGCACACAATGAGAAGACGGCTGTTTGCAAGCCAGGAAAAGAGCCCTCACCAGAAAGTAACCATACTGGCATCTTGATCTTGGACTTTCAGCCTCCAGAGCTGTGAGAAATTAAGTTTCTGTTGCTTAAACCACCCAGCTGTGGTATTTTGTTATATGAGCCTGAGCAGACTAAGACATGCTACTTTGAAATTACCTCAGTTATTAGTCCTGATGTTAGATCTTATTTAAGCATTCATTAAGGAGCATATATTCATTATAATATTATACATTTATTCTTAAAATAGTTAAGAATTACATTTCAATATTTTTCTTGATAATTCTGTTTCTTTTACTTTATTATGCAAAAATATTATTCCAAGAAAGAGTCAACAGTTTTCACCAGACACCGAAGAGGTCCATGCCACAAACACAGTGAAGATCCTGGGTTTAAATAGCTCTGGACAGTACACAGTTCAGACGTTTTCTTTCCCAACTCCCTACAATAAACCAATAGATTGTTTATTTCTAAATTAAAACCAACATCTTTGTGTTTCTGAAAGGGGCAGTAGCAAATAAACTAAGCGATTTAACAATAGGCAATAAAAAATCAAACCTGAAGTTAAATGAGTCCTATATTTACCTTTCTGTGCCTCTCTGGGCACCCTAATTCTTAACATGGGGATCTCTTAGGTCTTTTAAAACATAGGTTTTTCCTATCGATGTGATCAAGGAAAGATTTTATAGAAATAATTTATCTGAATTATTTAATTTGCAGAATTTCTTATACAGCTACCAGTTTATTCTTAAACATTTTCTACTTTCAATCAAAATGTGATATTTTCTTTTCTGCACTCTGACATAAACTTTTATAAATGACTAGCTTTGACAGTTCCCTGCCCTGACAGTTCGATTAGTAGCTGTAATAAAAATATTTGTACTTGCCAGTGATGGAGAAGAAGGGTGAATGATACACTAGGTGGAGCTTGAGGAAGGGAGGTGGGATTTTGGTCTGGGCCCAAGTTTTCCTACCAGCTAGATACGACCTCTTGGACAAGTCAGACAACTTTTTGGGCTTCAGTTTTCTCAACTTTAAAAGGAGGGCTTTCCTAAATGGCCTCTCTTCTGGAATGTCTATGGCTACATAAGGATCAGAGAAGTAGATATAATCCATGTCCAAAAAGAATGTGGACACATGTTCTTTGAGACACACGCAGGCCCACACATGGACAAACATTCAGTGAGTCAATACACATTTACAGAAAGATAATGCAAAAGCAACTCATTACAGGTTGTTGCAAAACATACAATTGATACTGGAGACCAGGTCCCTTGCCTAGGATACTTGGAACTTAACTAGGAAGCGATGGCGTACTTCTGGACATCAAACAACTGAAAAATAATCACAGGATGTGATGTGACAATAATATGATGACTTTAACTGGCACAGTGTGGATTCAGTGGATAAATGCCATGTAAGGGAAGGATCAGCCTGTAGCAGAATTAATGAGAGGTGTCTCTTTGGAGGAGGCCACTTGCAATCTTATTCTGAAAGGACCTGTGATTAGAGACAAAGGAAACACAGAAGGAGGATTAATGAACAAAGGTCAAATGGCAACAAGAAACAGATGCCAGATTCCAGCTATCCTCCTCTGTCCAGGTGGCCTTTCTTCAGCAGCCTGACACCCAGCCTGGGTTGAAAGAGAGAAAGAACTCACAGAGTAGCCAGAGGGGCTACTGGGACACACAACAGAGACAACACTTTTCAAAGAATTCTATAGCAGGGATGGCATTTCCACCATACTAGTTGGAAACTAGCTTAACGCTGCCTCAGAGTGTCAATCTTTCCTTTTTTTTTTAATTTGAGTTGGGGTCTCAGGCTGGAGTGCAGTGGCATGATCACAGCTCACCACAGTCTCAACCACTTGGGCTCAAGTGATCCTTCCACCTCAGCTCCCAAGTAGCTGAAACTACAGGTGCATGCCACTATGCTCAGCTACTCTTGTTATTTTTTGGTAGAGATGAAGTCTTGCTGTGTTGCCTAGGTTGGTCTCAAACTCCTAGGCTCAAGAAGTCCTTTTGTCTTGGCCTCCCAAAATGCTGGGATTACAGGCATAAGCTACCACACATGGTCCTCAATCATTTTTTTTTTAAGGAAGGGTAAAGAAACTTCCCTTGACCCTGCCATGCCCAGAGCTTCTGTCTGAGTTTTTCCCAACAACCAATCACTGGACTGAACCCTCTGGGGCAGAAGGAAAGGAAGGGAGACAGATGCTGGCCTCCTTCTTGTCCTGATGGCACAGAAACAGCAAGAAAGGGGTTCTTGGCCTGTGTTCTTTGGAGGCACAAAGTTTGAGAAAGCCAAGGAAGGACTGAGCTACTGTCTTAGACTGAAGAAGGCTAAAAAGAGCCATGACAACCAAAAGCAATACGTGATACTGAACTGGATCCTTGGGCTATAAAGTACATTATTAGGACAACTGGCGTGCTGTAAAAAGGGGTCTGAGGATTAGATGGTAGTAATGCATCACTGTTCATGTCTTGATTTTGATAGTTTCATGCTATTATGGAAGAAAACGTTCTTGTCTGTAGAAAAAAATCTGAGGTGTTGGGCTTCGTGTTGGCAAATTTCAAATGATTCATGAAAAAATGGCTTTTTGCTTAAAACAATACTAAAACAAACCTCTGGAGGGATTAATTGTTAAAATTTCCTTTGGTGGCCTACTTTCCTTTTTTAAAAAATATTTTTATTTTGTTTTTTATTGTTATTATTATTATTTTTTTGAGTCGAAGTCTCACTGTGTGGCCCAGGCTGGAGTATAGTGGCATGCTCTCGGCCACTGCAGCCTCAACCTGCTGGGCTCAGGCAATCCTTCCACCTTAGTCTTCCAAGTAGCTGGGACTACAGGCATGCACCACCACACCCAGCTAATTTTTTGATTTATTGTAGAGATGAGGTCTCATCAATTTCCCCAGGATGGTCTTGAACCCACGGGCTCAGGCAATCCTCTCATGTCGGCCTCCCAGAGTGCTGGGATTATAGGCATGAGCCACCGTGCTTGGGTGGCCTACTTTCATATCAAGCAACCAAACAAAAAGCTTTAGCCTAGGGCTTGGCAAATAGCATCTGCCTTACAAATGGTGTGGATGTGAGGGCTTCAAGAGGAGAAGGGAGAAGGGGTGGGGTCCCACAATGGTGGATAGGTGTCCCTTTCCAACTTCTTCCCCACAGTTAATCTGGTCCAGGAGTGGGAAGGCAGAAAGATGGGGACTAGGATGGGCCAATGGGAAGGGTGGAAAAGAGCAGGGAGAGAGTTAGAGAATTCCTGAAAACGCCCATCTACAAAGAACACTCCAAGCTGTGTGGCATGTGCTCAGTCAGTAACTGGCCAATACACTTTGATATGCAGCATTTTACATTTTCATCTGCATTTCATTTATAGATTTCATTTAAACTTTAAAATACAGTGTCCAGACCAGGCACAGTGGCTCATGCCTATAATCCCAGCACTTTGGGAGGCTGAGGCAGGAGGATTGCTTGAGATCAAGAGTTTAAGATCAGCCTGGGCAACATACAGTGGGACCTCATCTCTAAAAAAAAAAAAAAAAGCCGGGCTCGGTGGCTCAGCCTGTAATCCCGCGCCTTTGGGAGGCTGAGGTGAGTGGATTGCCTGAGCCCACGGGTTTGCGACCCACCTGGGCAGCGAGACCTCATCTCTACAATAAATCAAAAAATCAGCCGGGCGTGGCAGCGCATGCCTGTAATTCTGGCTACTCGGAAGGCTGAGGCGGAAGGATCGCCGGAGCCCAGCAGGTCGAGGCTGCGGTGGCCGGGAGCGGCCACTGCACTCCAGTCTAGGCGACAGAGTGAGACTCCAACTCAAAAAAAAAAAAAAAAAAATCAAAACATTAGCCAGGCATGTGACGCATGCCTGAAGTCTCTGCTACTTGGGAGGCTGAGGCGGGAGGATGGTCTGAGTCTAGAAGTCAAGGCTACAGTGAGCTGTGATTGTGCCACCATACTCCAGCATAGAGGACAGAGGGAAATTCTGACTCAAAAAAAAAAAAATTAATTAAATTGAATACTGTGCCTACAAAAGAGCCTGAAAAGCCAGCCATCTTGTATATTTTTCATGTATAAGTCAAGCAGACTGCCATTCTTTCTTCCTCCTTCAGAAAAGCGATGACATATGGGTTGAGTCATTTACTGTATTAGTTCTTTAGAACACGGTCTGCAGTCCATTTCAGTGTTGATTTCCTTTTAAAATTTGTTTTACTACTAACTACAAAGCCTTCTCTCTTGTCATGTAGTAGTTGTGGCCTTTTGAATGTCACTGTT